GGCTTTGCAGTTTATTAGAATATTGTGTCTCTTACATTACTTTTATAAACGTAGGAATTACCTTCGACACTAGATACTGTAGTGCTAAATTTCGGCCTGGTTCTTCGTCCACAATGTCTACAGCGTGTCAGCGAATTGCGCATATCCCTGGGACGCTAGTTGCCTGTCTAAGCAATTGCCCATGGTGTTCTAATCAGTGCCGGCTGCGTGTTTGCCAGTAGCGGCTGATTTCGTAAACACGTAATCGTGATCAGACCTTTGTAGCCTGCAGAACAAAACTATGTTCTGATTGGTTAACATTTTAAATTTGAAGTGTACAGAATTTTGCAGGATTTGATAATATTTTCGTACACAGTAATCAACATTATAACAAAATAATTTCTTAACCAGAACAATATTCCTTTGGTAACGATATTATTCAGCTGAGGTGGTCTGCAAACTATCGTCAGCCCCGCGTGTTTTCCTCCCAAGTGCTTACGCTTTATGCGTTTCAACTGCGTTTCCTCTTAAACTTACCACTATATTGGTGGGAATAAGCTAGGCACTTGCTCTTCCAGCTTGACGATAATTCAATGCGCGGACAACACCGAAAACGAGAAACGCGGACTTGCGCTGTGATCGCTGTGATGGTCATGAATAGCCCAGACATTCGTCAATCCAAGCAGTACTTCGAAGCCATTTCTTCCTCGAATGGACCAGCTGCAGTCGTAACTCCTCACTAGTACAGCGCCAAGTCTGGCTTCGTATCCGTCGATCCCATTTACGTGTTGACAGTAGAAATCTACTTGGTGCCACGGTATCCTTTGCCCCGACGTAGCCCGAACTCGGCGTTGTTCCACTCGCTGCCACCTCCGAAGCCCATGCGAGCCTCGCTGGTCTGTTGGTTTGCTCCTTGGTTACTAAAGTTGACGGGAACACGCGGCGGGGGACCGAAACTAGGGATACCATCCATTGGCGGACCGTCACTCATGAAGTCATCACGCTCCATGTTCTGCAGCACGAGACGCTTCAGTTCCGACTGTTCCTTCTTTCCAGCGTTTTCCTGGCGGTGACTGTGCTGAGCCAGCGATGAAGCCTCCGGTACGACCAGCTGGCGCGCCTCCACTTTGCCCTTATTACCACGACGGAGCATGCGGAACACCACGCCATCGGGAGATCCATTCGCATCGAGAGAGAGAGCACCACGAGAACCTGCAGGGGTCAGAACAGCCGAGCTCTTGACAACGGTAGGAATCGCCATCTTGTCCACGTTCACGCGAGCGGCTGGCTTGCGTGTATCCGCAGTGCCGTGCATCATCGACTTGAAGGCCTTTTCGAACTCTTCGTCCTCTTCGCTCTTCTGGATGCGGTCGTGGATGATCAGGAGCTCTTCTTCGTCTTCCTCTTCCTCCTCGTCATCGTCTTCATCCTCCTCGTCTTCTTCATCGTCGTCCTCTTCATCGTCTTCTTCACCGTCATTGTCTTCATCGTCATCATGCTCGTCATCATCGTCTTCATCATCGTCCGTATCTTCTTCCTCGTCTTCAATGGACTCGTCATCTTCGTCACCTGGTTGAGACAACGTTGAATCCTCAGCGACACTGTCGAGACCGTTGGTGGCCATAAGCAACGCTGCATTCTTCTTCGACAAGCGGCGTTCGGCTTCCTCCATATCTCCACGAAGAATCTCCTGAACCGCCTGATCCACCTCCTCCCACGTGTCAAACTTCTTGAAATGATCCTTTAGACTACTTCCAAGCATCTCGAAGAGATCGAACACGACGAACTCGGTCTCCATGGGCACGTCCGTCTTGGAGAAGAGATATCGCTGGAAAAAGATCATGAAGCGACCAAGTCGTGGTCGCGAGATGCCTCTCTCGGTTGAATTGCCGTGACCCACACTTCCACTGCCATTACAAGTCTCGATCAATGCACTAACAAGGCGAATTCGGAACACTTCAGTCGGCCCGTCCACTTCACTGGGCACACGAGGGTCATAGCGCATGTCCGGTACGAGCAGGAACCTCTTCTTCATCTCCAACAACTGAGCGGCTGTGAGTTTGTCGCTACTGTACTGTGGCAACGTCAGCAGGTCGTGCGAGTGGTTGATCAACAGATACAGCGTCTCCACTACCACGTTCATGCTCACCAGTCCACAGTTGTAGAGTTCTCCTAACAGCTTCACATATCCGAGACTGCGCTGATGATCGCGATAGTCATTAACCTCCAGGCCGTACCGAATATACTCCAACACGTCGTCCACCAGCAACACCAGTACTTGATCGTGGTATCGCGATAGTCCCTTCACCACCTCGCAAATCCACTTCATCTGCAACACCTTGCCCTTTGTCACCTTCAATAAAGCCTTCAGCACCATTTCACAGGTGCCACTATCTTGCCACGGAAGTCGACGCAGCGTCTTAACGACCTTGTTCACATTCGAACCATTCAGATCTTGGAACAGAACCTTAATCAGATACAGATACATCGGATCGTACTGCTTCACTTGGCGCTCCACGCGTTCGGGCGGTTTGCACATGTAGTAGGCGTTTTCCACCAGAGTTTCCAATTGCGGGTCCAAATGCTTGGCTGCCTTCAGCTTCATCATGACATTCAAGCAATTAACTGTGCGGGCATGCGTGTGCTTGGAGCAATACAGGAACCGGCCGCAGTTCTCGAGAAATGTCGTCGCCACATGCACATTGTGGCCCTGGAAGTCCTGGAAACACCGTTGCAGACATCGAAATCCAGTATTGGGTGGACAGATCCGGAACTTGACCAGTTCTGCTATGAAGCGGATGTTCTTGATCTTCGACTCGAGGCGAAACTGGTTCCGACGCTTGATCAAGCCGTGGAATTCGCCCACTAACATACTCACGAGCTCGCCGCCGATGTCCTCCTTAAGCACGCTCTGCAACGTGGCTACAAGACGTGCATAGTGAGCCAGCAGCTCCAAGTGAGTCCGTGGCACTGCATACAGCGTCTTGACAAGACGACTGCGTGTAGCCTTCGAGTTGCGGTAGCAAAACTCAACCGCTGCCTTATCACACCGGTCTCGATTCACCAAATCTTCCAGAGATGCGAAGTAGGCGTCCAATTGATGGTGGTAACTGTTTGAAGGGGTTGAGGAGGTATCAGCGCTGGCATCACTCGTGTCTTCCTTCGCTTTACTCTCCTCTTCTTCCGGATGGATGACTGTGCTGTCTTTAGTCTCTAAATCCTCCAGTGTAGTGTCGTCTGCGTCGTCTTTTCCGTCGTCATCGGCGTTCGTCAAAACTTCTTCTTCGATCTCAGTTTCAGCCTCTTCTTCAGCAGCGGCAGCCGTCTCTTTCTTCTTCTTGAGCTCCGCCACATCAGCTTCCGTAAGGCCTAACACAACCGCAGGAACCAGCTCCAATAAGTCCGGTAGATCTTCGTAAAAGGAGCGTGTGGCTTCGTCATCAAAAGGCCCATCTCTGCTCAGTTCACGGCCAGCACCGTCGCCTCCTTCCCAGACGAGAATACTTCCATTTCCTGATCCGTCGTCCTTTTCCTCCACTGGCAAGGGCGGTACGTCTCGATCTAGCGCGTCGGCCAGTGAATTCACGCTCGTCTGCAGCTTCTCGAACAGTAATTTGGCGTTCTTGAGCTCCTGCACATGCTCCTCCGTCACTTCTCCTCGGTTGGCTTCCTCCTTCTCATTTCTCGCGTCCAGTTTCAAGAACGTCGCGTGTTGTGCCAGATAAAACTTGCAGATCATCTCGTAAGCTTCCAGATAGCAACTCAGACACTCCTGCTGCACATTCTGCAGCACTACGGGCGTCTGAGACTCCAGGAACTTCTCGAACTCTTCATTTCCCTCCAGAATCTTCTCTAATTCCTTAAATTTCTTCGGCTGGACGCCGAGAAAATCCACACCCACAGACTTGGCGAAGCTCACGAGTAGCGGCACTTCCAGCTGCTGCGAGCCTGTGTTAGAGCCTGAGGTGGACATATTACCTCGGCCTTTCTTGGCCCCAGGCTGCTCACGTTTGGCCACTCGCTGGATGATGTGTGCGATCACCTGGACGTCGTCAAAGACGCCGGCCAGGTAAAGTTCGCATAGTAAACGTAGGATAAGTCGGCGTTTGAGCATTTTGCTCTTGTCTTCCGAGGCGTACGAGGCCTCGAAGCTGCTCACCAGTGCGCGCACCATGCCCGGTGCAAAGTCCTCGTATCGCTGATGTAATAGTGACGCCACTTTGACAGCGGCCGGCAGATCCGCCGCCTTGAGAGGAGCGTCCGCCAGCGCCGCCACACACTCGCTTACGTATCTGGTGAGATTCAGCTCGGCCGCATCGCGCAGTAGCGAGTCCGCGTTGGCCTCGCTGAGCACGCGCAGCTTCTTGACAAAGGCGGACGAACGCTTGATGTCCGACTTGAGCTTGAGCGTGGCCAGCTTAGCACGAACATCCGCGACGTTGGCCGCGCTGTTGGCCGAGCGCAGGGCCGAGCGGGCCTCACTCTGGCGCTGGAGCTCATGGAGCTGCGACAGAGCTTGAGCCTGCGCGTCGTCGTCCTCGTCGTCACGTGCCATGTCCTTAGACTTGGATGGTCTTTCTGTTGGGGCGATTTGGTTGGGTATGAACTAAGATGGGTTATGCTTTGATGAAGGATTAATTGCAATACTGCCATGCCCAATTTTAATTATTGTAATAAACGCAGGGTACCAGTATCATTATTGGGCTCCAATTATTAATATAACTAAGCTATTAGCAAAACAAAGCCGTGCTGACGCCCGGAGAAGCCCTGGATTTTATTGGCGCTTTTCTATTTCAAGGAGTTTATAAGAAAGGATACATCGACGTAGGAAGATGAAGTAAACCTCAGTTAATATGTATTTGCTCGCACTCTTTCTGCTCGAGAACTCGAGAACT